ATCTCCAGTGTGGACATCATCTCCAGTGTGGACATCTCCAGTGTGGACAGTGTGGACAGTGCTCTGACCCTTTTGACATAAGCTCAGGTGAAACTTCATTTCCTTGAGGAAAGATTTCTCAGTTTATGGACGCTTCTTCTGAGTAGGATTTGCTTCTTCCCTCCCCTCCTTTCCCTTCCCCTCCCCCCTCTTCCCCTCCTCTTCCTGTATCCCAAGGTCCCATGTATCCCAGTCTAGCCTAAACCTTACTATAGCCAGGGCTGACCTTGAACTTCTGATCTCCTGGCCTCCAGAACACCAGGATTATGGGTGTATATCACCACAGTCTATTTATGTGATGTTGGGGATTGAACCCAGGCCTCCTGCCTTCAAGGCAAGCGCTCTGCCAACTGAGCTACTACCACATCCCTGGCCCCTCACATATAGGAACTGAATGTATGTCCCACGGCTGTGTGGCTTTGCCTGTGGACTGTCTCTGAGACCTTTAGGACAGAAACCGGCAAGGAGCTGCGGAGCTGTACATCTTTGTTAAACTGACAGAGGCCGGGGGAGATCAGCTTCTTCTCTTTTAGTGTTTGCTTGTCTGAAACAGGGTCCTGTGTAGCCCAGGCTAGTCTTGAACTCTCAATCCTCCTGCCTCCAACTCCAGAATGTTCGGATTTAGGCGTGCACCACCATGCCCAGTTTGAGAATACAGACTTCCTACCCTTTGCAAAGCTTAAAACAGCCAGAGCAAGGTCTCAAGACCCCAGTGAGCTACAAGGCTAACTTGGTCTTCAGCAGCAGTGACTAGGCACCTTCATGCCCGAACTGTAGCAGGGCTACAATGGACCTGGATACAAAAGAGAAAGATGCCCGTGAGGACTGATCTTTCCTGCCACAGCCTCTGCCGATGTGACAGGAAGTCAGTCTTGATTCAGCCTGGCTGTCCCAGCAGGCCCCAGACCCCTGGCTGTCCCAGCAGGCCTCCGCTCCCCTTCACCCCCACCCCCAGGAGGCTCCTCTTCCTTTGGCCTGGCAAACCTCCAGGTAATAGCATATGATGATAATGGCCTCCATCCCAAGGCAGCGTGATAGCCTGGATCCTGGGACTCCCTGTAGGATCACCTCTGAAGCTGAGGTGGCCACTTGACTTGCTTTGATGGATAAAGGATGAGGGGACCGGGAATGTGCAGACTTCTTCCTCTTCGGGCGGAAGCCACTGCGCTTCATCCCACCCCTCTCCCCATGCTGCAGAGGCTGTAGGGGGTGCACAGTGGCTGCCTCTCTCTACCTGGGCGATGCTGCCAACCAGAACCTTCTGGATCGTGTTGGACAGGCGGTGTGGGAGCAGTGACCTGATTTGGCCCATCCTGTGGGAGTTCATCTGAGGGGAGTGTCTGCGCAGGCCCTGGAGGAGGTGGGGCTGACCCACGTCCAACAGGATGGGTGAGGTGGGACGGGCAGAGGGTAAAGGTGGCAAGAGGGAGGGCCAGAAAGATGGACTGACAACTGACCGAGCAACTGGGAGCTGGGAGCATGCTGTCCCTGAGGAAATGGCCATTGAGATGCCACTTGCAAAGTGGCATTCTGTTTATTCAGGGCTAAAAATGGTGTTGACGGTGAGCACCTCCCCAGGAGGACTCAACCTGAGCATTTTTCTTTGAGTTCTTGCGTGAACACAAATGGTCGGTCTATCAGCCTGAGTTTTCACATGGCCCAGCACCAAACAGCGTTTCCATTCCTTTCAAACCGTATAGCCGCCCAACTGTGGTGGACAGACGGAGGGAAAGACCAACAGCTGCTGTCTTGAGCATCCCCTCCGGGAGGACCAGGTACGGAAGTGACTCATGGTCTTATCCAAGAGCCACCTTTGACATCCGGTGACAGCATCACACCATGTTCTGTGCCTGGAAACCAGGTGCTACCGGATGAAGCCAGCCTGGAACCTGAGCCACAGCTTGAGAAGTCATCCTGTCTTCAGTGTGGGTCACACAGTTGATTGCCACCGGTGACAGATAAACATTGCCCCTTGCTTGTCCACAGAAGCCATCTCTGCTGTTTTACTTGGGGGCTGAAGATAAAGCAGAGGAATGCACATCCCAGCCAGGGCCCCCTGGGCTGTCGAAAACGTGTGATTGATCTGGGAGGCCGAACAATAGCTACACTTACCAACAGGTGACTAAGTCATTTTCTGGGCCAAGAAGCCCAGGTGCAGATGTTTTCCTGCAGGGAGTGGAGAGGAGCTGGCTTTTATGGGCTGCGAACTCCTATCAGTGGGTGATAAGAGGCCTGGGCCATTGACTCTTTGGTGATTGGAGAAATAGTTCCTAAGCCCAGAATGTGAAGCACTGAAGGATGATGAGTCATTCGCTAGGGCCATGCTCCTCTCAAGAAAATTTATCTCTTGGTGTTCTCTCCACCTCCCGCCACACCCCCTCTCCTCCCCCGCTTAAACCTCGCTGCGATCAGGGCCCCTAAGGAAGAGGTAGAATTATTAGGAAAAAATCACCAGTGACACAGAAAGTGACATGTAGCTGGGAAGAAGGGTGCTGGCAGCCGTTGTCGGAAGAAAGGAATCGACACGTGTTCACGAGGGGCCACTGTGAGCTGCTGTTGGCCGCCAGCGCCCTCTCCACCCGGTGTTCCCTATGTGAGAACCCTGGGTGCTGGCGCCCTCCCTACCGCCTGCTCTGCAGCTGCAGTCAGGACAAACTCCCATGCTGCAGTGACCTGTCACCTCCTCAGTGACACGGTGTCTGAGGCGGAGCTCTGCAGAGAGGCTGCAAAGCATCGGCGTGAGTGCCCAAGTCCAGGGCGTTTCATACAGCGTTTTACAGCCACGCTTCTGTCACACAAGCATCGAGTTCTTCCAGAACCTCCTCCCCTCCCCCATTCCCACCTACCCTGCGGAATGGTGAGGAGGGCGCAGGGAGGGACGGACTTCTCCCTGCCTCCCCCCTGCACTCAGATGGTCAGCGGCTGTCAGGATCTCCGGGAGCTTTTCTTTTTCCAGATCCAGTCACTGTCATGGCTAAAAGCTAGGAACCTTAAAAGTGCCTGCAGGGAAACACTCCAGAGATTTATCTAATCGTGGGCCCAAGTCAATGATCCCAGTTTTATGGGCAAAAGTGAGTCACACGTAATCATTGTCAAAGTCAGAGGGCTCCGGGCTCTGCCCTCTTCTGCCCTGGTGGGGGTCCCGGGGTCCTGTGCACCGAGGCTTGGTTGGCTGGTGCTGCCCGCCAAGCTGAGGACCCTGTGGGCTTTCCCCGACCGGAAGTCTCCTCTTGGATTGGACTGTGACACCTTATTAGCTCTTTCCATCCAGGGTGCTAGAGTCCTGCGGTGCAGCCAGGGTGACAGGGTGTCATCCACAGTTAACACCAAATGAATGTAGTTTAACTAACCGGCCGGTTTTCCTAACAGCTCATTGTAAGATGGGTGAGAGTCAGAGAGGAAGAGGAGGGAAAGAGGGAGACTTTTGGCATTCCTCCCAAGCATTTCACCCACAAACCGGTTTAGGCCAGTGAGACAGGATGTTCTGCAGAGCAAAGATCATGTGATCACCCCCGTGAACAAACAGACGGTGTATCATTAACAAGCTAGCTGCGGGCTTGCATTTCCCCATCTCCAGGGTGTCAGTGACCCCAGAGATTTAATTAAAAACATTAAAAAAAAAAAAAAAAGTAACAGGCCAAAGTTTCATCCTGTTTAGACTCAGCATCATGGGGAACATGGCGGGGTTGCTGACCTGCCCAGGGGGAACAGGGTCGGTCTGTGGGGGGCGGCATCTGAAGGTCAACCCTGTGGTGTGGCCAGAGACCAGCTCTCTGATTCTCTGCTTCATAGAGAAGACAAGGTTGGCAGGATGCTTGGAGCTCACAGGCTGCAGGGGACCTGGCTGCTCCACATCAGGAGACAGCCAGGATCCCTTGGTGCTGAGCAGCTGCGTCCGTCCGGGTGGGAGAAGCGGCCCGCGGGTTTGTCAGGAGATCCCGGACCCGCGCGGGATGTTCTCATCGCAGTGAGCTATCAGCTGGTCTCGGGTCGTCCCCCCCCAGGACATGAAGGACCGCAGGATGCACACAATAGGCAACGTCAGGGAGGCAGTGAGGAGGGACAGTGAGAAGGTCCAGGGAGTCTCTAAATGCACGACATGGGGGAAATGAAATCCAGCCCTTCAGCAGGTACCACCCTGCAGAGCCCTGTGTGACTGACACCGTGGGCCTGGTCCACAGGCAGCGAGGAACCATGGGAGCTTTATGGCAAGGAATTTATTTGATGAGATGCAATCGTCCTTTTTCCAAGCGACAATTTTGTCAACTGAAGTTGCTTTTAAGGAGGTGTTTTCTAAGGTCTTACTATGTAGCCCAGGCTACTCCTGCCTCAGCCTTCCCAGTGCTGGGATTACAGACATGTACCACACAATGCCCAGAAAGTTCAGGTTTTTGAGAGATACCAAAAATCTAGTATTTTCCTGGTCCTACGTGTCCAGGGAAGCTAGTGGGAAGAGACCTCCAGGAAGAAACAGGGCAGTGTGAGACAGACTGGAACCAGAGGCTTCAGCTACACAAAATGCCTTGCTCTGTCTCACATCTGTATTCTGGACTAGAATTTCTTACTGTATTCTGTCTAGAGTTTCTTACTGCTGACCACCTGTCCAGAAGCAGTTTATGCCCCTTTCACAGACTTCCAGGAATTCCTTAAAGAGTTTCCCATCACAAAGTGATCAATATTGTCTTAAACATTGATTATTTTAAGTTTATGTGTATGAGTAGTTTGCCTGCATGTAAGTGCATCATGTGTATGTAGTGTCTTTGTAGCCCAGAAGAGGACTGGAGTTACAGAGGGTCGTGAGCTAGCGTGTAGCACTGAGAACTGAACCCAGGTCCTCTGGAAGTAAGTACTTTTAACTCCTGAGCCATCTCTCTAGCCCCCGCTTTCAAAACTTTGTTGTTGTTGTTATTGTTTTTGTTTGTTTGTTTCTTTCTTTCGAGACAGGGTTTCTCCATGTAATTTTGGTGCCTGTCCTGGATCTTGCTCTGTAGACCAGGCTGGCCTCGAACTCACAGAGATCAGCCTGGCTCTGCCTCCTGAGTGCTGGGATTAAAGGCGTGTGCCACCACCGCCCGGCAAAAACTTTTAATACTTGTTCAACTGGAGCTGGAGAGATGCTCAGCACTTAAGAGCATCTGCTGCTCTTGCGGAGGACCAGGGTTTGGTTCCTACCACTTACAACTACACGAAACTCCAGCACGAGGGAATCTGAAACCCCATGCATGTGTGCATACACACAGACACACAGACACAATTTTTTGAGATTTATTTTTATTTGGTATGTATGGGTGTTTTGCCTGCATGTATGTCTGCATCATGTGGGTACCAGAAGACAGGAGGGGCCAGATGGATTCCATGGAACTGGAGTTAAAGATAGTTGTGAGCTGTCATGTGGATGCTGGGAACTGAACCCTGGTCTTCTGGAAGAGCAGCCAGTGCTCTTAACTGCTGGGCAATCTTTCCAGCCCTAAATAAAATTATTTTAAAAAGTAGAATGAATACATTATTTGATACCTACAGCATAATGAATATAAAATATATATATGTGTGTTCATACAATATGACTGTATTAGGAGTCTTTGGAGCTAGTCTTCAAACCAAGAGTTGGTGTCATTTATGACAGGCCTCTCCCACTGCTACCATCTGCCTAGCTTGAGGCAACTATGATCTCAAATAAATTTTGTGTTTATCATGTCAGTTTTTAAAAAGGTAATTTTGTAATTTTTCTCCCCAAATTTTGTCTACACTGAATGGCCCTCAAGCCTCCAGGATCTACCTGTCTCTGCCTCCCCATCACCATAGTAACAGACAGCCACCACATTGTTCAGCTTGTACCTGGATTCTGGAGATGGGTCCTTAGATCTTCACACTGGCACAGCAAACGCTCTACTCTGAGTGTTCCCCAATCCTCTGACTGCCCCCTTTAAATGTGTAAGAAATGCACAAGTTTTCAAGTACATAGCCTGTTGTGTTTTGAAATTCTGGCATCCAAGGAACCACTCCCCAGTCCAGGAAATCTGCCTGCATCATCCAGAAAGTCCCTTGAACCCCTCCAAGGATTCCTTAGGCAACTGCGACCTGTTTTCTTTGTTTTAGAATTCCATATAAACGAAGTTACACAATCTTCCCTATTTTCCTCCTC